ATCTTGAAATTTGCAGGAAAATTGATGGAACTAGAAGAAACCAGGGAGCAGAAAGGTTGAGTCAGGGGAAGAATAGATAACAAGAATGGAGATATCATAACAGAGGGATACATTTTTGGTTTACAGAGAAATCAGGCGCTAGGGAAATGTCTGGAGATCTACAAAGATGGCACCAACTAACAATCTAAGCAAAAGAGGAGAGTTTACCTTAAATGTCCTCCCCTGATAATGAGATTGATGACTAAATTATATGCTATCCTATAGCCTTCATCCTGCAGCTTGTGGAACTAGAAGCAGACACTCACAACCAATCACCAAACTGAACTGGAACACAGATTCAGAGAAGGACGAGTGAAGAGCACAGGGGTCCAAACCAGGCTGGTGAAACCCACAGAAATAGCTGACCTGAGCAACAGGGAACTCTTGCTCCCCAGACTGATAGCTGGAATACCAGTATGGGACTGATCCATACCCCCAGGAACATGGGTTTCTGTGAGGAAACTTCGGAAATCTACAGAACCTCCTGTAGAAGTTCAATACTTATCCTTAGCATAGGTGTGGACTTTGGGAGCCCATTCCATAGCTGACCTGAGCAACAGGGAACTCTTGCTCCCCAGACTGATAGCTGGAATACCAGTATGGGACTGATCCATACCCCCAGGAACATGGGTTTCTGTGAGGAAACTTCGGAAATCTACAGAACCTCCTGTAGAAGTTCAATACTTATCCTTAGCATAGGTGTGGACTTTGGGAGCCCATTCCATATAGAGGAATACTCCCTGAGCCAAGACACATACGGGTGGGCCTAGGCCCTATCCCAAAGAATACAACAGACTCTGATGACACCCTATGGAAGGCTCACCATCCAGGGGGAGCAGAAAGGATATGTGATAGGTAAGGTTTTAGTTGGGGAGGTGCTGGTAGGGGAGGATGGGTGGGAGAAGGGAACTGGGATTGTCATTTAAATCAATCCTTTTTCTAATTCAAATTTTAAAAAGTTGATAAAAAGATGACATTATGGATTGATGGCAGTCCAAGAAAGGTACATTACAGCACCAGAGGAGAATTGCAAATGCCACCATGTACTTCCCAGTGATATTATGAATAAAGATGTCATCTCTCCAAAAATAGAAATATGCATTTTCCCAAAAGAAATGAAGTAAATTGTCTACAAAATACATAAATAAAACATAGAAATGAATTTCATATACATTAGAGAAAATAAATTCTCCTTATTCTCTTTGAAAGCAAAAGAAAAGCAAGTGCAAAGCCCACTGAGATCACATTGGTTAGAAGATTATATGGTTGGAAGAATTAATTGAATTTCTGTTTATAATCAGGTACACTTGGGAGTATTCTTTTGCTTGCCCATTTTCTTTTCTCAGTGTCTCCAGTGCCTTCATTAAAGTCTTTATTGGGCCATCAAGAGAAGCATGTTGTGTAAAAGATTTTTTCATTACAGGGTGGCATTTATCTTATTGCAATATTTCTCCCCTACATAATAATATCTCACAAAATAAACTATTACAGGAAAAGCAATGTCAAATTTTAGTTTTTTAAAAGCTCCTTATTTGTGATACTATAAACATATTCATTTATTGGAACTCACGGTTTCTAAAATCAGCCCATAGAGCTTAGGCGCTAAGCGACCTCACAAGAGAACCGCCATGTGCCTTCTAATGTAAATTTTATTTCCGTGGAAGTATAATTATGTTTGAGTCATTTCAGGATCTTTCCTCATTGATCTTGTCAAAACAATTCATACAAGGTCCAGAGGGAAGGTGTTAGCTAAAGTGTGGCCTTCTTTAAGACCACAGATGGCTGGAAGGAATGTCTACAGTCACCATGGCTAAAAGTGGTGGTGCAGTGGCAACCTACGTCCTCTTTATTCTTCCTCCTCAGCTTCCAAGATAATTACTTAGAGGGGAAAATACTGTGCATTGAACAAATGTTATCAATCTATAATATATCCATAAAGAAAGTTACCAAGCACGATTTCTTAGTCTTTTCCTTCTTTGATCAAAGTACACATATGTGCATGCACACACATGTGCACACTCACATACTCACACAAACACATGCACACACACACACACACACACACACACACACACACACACACACACACAACACTAATCATCACAACTTATGTAGAAAATAAAGATAGTTAGTAATTTTAGTAGCATACACCAAGCATTAAATTAACAAGAGATGCCAACAAAGGAAAAATGCCAATAGTTTCAGAGTGAGAAAGTACTTTCATTTTGTCTCAAAGAAATTAGAATTTTCCCCAATATAGAAAGGCCATTTAAAATCCCACAGTCACAAATGAGAGCAGGCAAAGGAAACCAGAGAAAGGCGACTTACCAGAAGCCTTTGAGTCTTTATCATTCCCATTAGAGCAGTCCTTTCCAGACTTGCACACTGAAGAGTGGGTAAGGCACTGGCCACTTGTACAAGTGTACTCATCTATAGAACAAAGCTGTTGGGAATGGGTCTGTCCACAAGTGTAGACCAACAGCTGATCAAGCCCAATAAAGCTTCTCTGTCTCAAAACTGTGCCTTCAAAAACAACCTTTATGGAAAAATATGATTAATTTATGGATGTATACTCTTAAAATACAAAAAAAATAGGAAATCCTGAAGAAGGGTCACAGAGATAAGTCACTGAGGAAAACACCTTTTTAAAACACAGCCAAATGCAACTGATGGCAAAATTTGATTATTGGTTGACAAATATGATCTACATTCCTGACAATGATAAGCACATAGGATTCATGAAGGTTTCTGGAAAGCCAATAAAGAAGAACTAAATATCCATGTAGCCATTTGGATATCCTTTTACTGCAAACTCATCACTCGAGTATCATTTTTACAATATTCTTTCTCTTATTTTCAAAAAAGGAAAAACATTGTCATTAATTCATAGAGCTATTAACTGTGTCTGTTTTATAAACTACTATAATTAACACGTTAAAACCTGCAGGGAAATATCAGGAAAGGGAAAAGAAACATAGCATAAGATTAAGGATTTGAAAAGAACCACCCTTAAAAAAAATCACACCACAGAAAAGAGCTAGTTTTCTTTTTTTCTTTTTTTTTTTTTTTGAAACAGGATTTCTCTGTGTAGCTTTGGAGCCTAGCCTGGCCCTCGATCTGTAGACCAGGCAGGCCTAGAACTCACAGAGATCCGCCTGCCTCTGCCTCCCTAGTGCTGGGATTAAAGGCATATGCCACCACCCTCCAGCCAAGACCTAGTTTTCCAATAAGTAAATGTCACCAATTAAAGGCAATGGATCCTGTTTCGTCTAATTGATTTCCTGGCTTTTCTGGAGATATACAATGTTAGTAAGGGACCCAGTCTTTCACTGCCAGTCAAATGCAGGACAATGTCAATGCATTAGGAGTCCTTGAGGTCTTACTAAGAACAATGGTTAATGAACTGAAGGAGGATGTAGCAGAAACAGCTCACTATATGGCAACCAATTTCCTTTTGTCCAACTCGGTAGCCACTTATGAGTAATTTAAGTGAATTGAAATCAGATTGGAATCCGATTTCTGAATCCCATTAGCTCCATTTCAAGTGTTCAGGACACTCACAGGTATTGACAGAGTTTATCCAGAAATGTCTTCGGAACTGAAGCATTCTCTTTTGGAGGGAGGAAGAAGGCTCAAAAGGCTCAGGAAGTAAACCTCACAAGCCTGAAGAGCGAACACAAGATTCACTAGATTATAAAACCTTCCTCCTATGAGATTATAAAATCGGTGACCAGCTGCTGGAAGAAAAGGCTCTTCCACCTACAGAGTTGCCTGTAAGAGGCTGACTTGTCCATCTGTCTGCCATTTGCAGAGGATCTAGAGTTCAAGCTTCTGTGTGCTGTCATCCCAGCTGGGCGTGGCTTTTGGTGATAGAGCAGGCTGGCTTTGAGATATCCTTACTCCTGTGAGATGGCTTTCCTCCACACCCCTGTAGATCTGTTCCATAACTACTGGTCCGACAAGTTACTTTGATGAAATTCTTATTCTGGTCTGTTCTGCCACTGGTCCACTTTCCAGGGAAAGTAGGGTTTTTCTTACCAGGAAAAGTTACATAGCAAAAGATAATTTCTCTGTTACCATTTAAATAGAACATCACTGAACATCATACAAAAGATCTGTCAAAGTATTCGTAATGAAGATTGGCCACATTCAGCCTCACCCAGTTTAAGGGTTCTGTCTAGATTTCACCTTTGCAAGGACAAAAAGTACATATTTCTTGTTTAAAAGGTACTTTGGATCAAATGTCAGAAGGGAAATACATTTAAAGTGTTTCTTCAGAAGATAATATTCAATTCAAATCCTGTGTTATGAGAAAAGTATGCATGCTGTTACATCAGTCTCCCTTAATCAATAGCACATGTGTACATACATTATCAGGCCAGCAGCTATGTCTTTTCAGAGCATCCACAGACCTGATATATGATTCATTTCAGGTCTCAAAACTGACGAGTTTAAACTTTGATCTCCACACTCTGCCATTTCATATTCATATTTTCATTCCATCTCCTCTGCAATAGAATCTTATAACTTCAAAATGTGCTGTCTTTAAATTTTGCTTTATTCTATCTCTTTTTTTTTTTGCAAAATCACAAGGCCAACTTCACTTTGTGGAAAAATAAACTTACTGGGGAATATATCCCTCAGAGGTTGTAAATATCAGCTTATAAAATGGTACGCTAGTGTCAAAATGTTAACCCAAAGGAGTGTAATATAAACTTCAACTCATAAGCCTGTTATAAAAAATACTATGCTTCAAAAATTCCAGGATTAAGGCATATGGAATTCTAAAAGTCCACATGGCTAACCTCAGTATTTGGGGAGAGGTGTATAAACACAGTAAGACCATAAACAATGAAGCTAGTCTTGTAAGTCACACATACAGTCAATCTTATCTTTCTTATTCACTCTCTTACATGAGCCTATATGCTATGTACAGGAAAGAATCTCATCAGTTCTTCAAAGAGCTCATCTACCAAGCTTTATAGAAATGTTTCATGTGTATAATGGTATAGATAGTAATTTCATCACCTGAGTTTCAGCAGTTTACTAAATATCTACATCATGAAGAAAAATGTTTGCCTCGAGCAATGCTGGGAGCTGGGAAGCACTAAGCAAGAATATACAGAGAATGAGCAGGTCTGAGTAAGAATGGGCCTCTAGCACAGTGGTTCTCATCCTGTGAGTTGTGACCCATATTAAGGTCGAGTGACCCTTTCACAGGGGTCACCTAAGACTATCTGATAACACAGATGTTTACATTGCTATACGTAACAGAAGCAAGATGACAGCTATGAAGTAGCAATGAAAATATTTTTATGGTTAGAATTACCACAACATGAAGAACTTGTTAAAGCGTTGCAACGTTAGGAGGGTTGAGAACCACTGAACTAGTAGGTCCTCTGCTCACAGTTAGCTTGGCTTGTTAAGGACCTAATGCAGAGAAAAGAAAAGCTAAGTATTATCCCCAAAGATACACATCTACCTTTCCAATTTAAATTTAACAGAGGATGATAAATTATATATTAGCAAAGTAAAAATGTAAGTTGTAACCAAACTGTACTTTTATACCTTAAATATCTCCAGACCTTCTGGTATTAATACATCTGCCTTCGCCCATGTGTTGTGAGTTGATGTATTGAATGTCCAAGTCATTTTTTCTTCCTTTGATTTGAAATAGAAACATGTTAGTAGTTTCCAAAATGCTCTTCTCATGTTTATATACGTGCTCTCCTAATTATGTTTAGTGGAGATTTGTGTATCTTTATGCTCTTAAGTACTGGGAACTCTAAAGTACTTATGTAATAATGAGATGAATAATTTTGAAGGAAAATAAGAAGTAATCATATCTGTATAATAAAACTATTTTAAACATCTCCCTTTGTTAATACCTGTTAATTGCACACATTAATAGGATTTGGTGTGGAATTTTCATATATGCATACAGCATACCCTGACCACACATCCATTTTTCCCTCCTATCAAGAACAAATAAGTAATTGCATTTCTGAACTAAAACCGCAAAAAAAGCAACTGGTAGAATCTCCAGCTTCTGTGCTGATCTGATAACAATGTATAATATTACTGTGATACTACTGCAAGGAAGACTCAATATGGTGTAAAAATACATAGCTGCACTTGTAGACCCATCTTGGTTTTTGTTTATTTGTTTTTTAATCTATGGGTGACATGAATCTAATTTCTACACAACATAATTACTGTCAAAAGACTAAATTCATATATTTGACTCTTCTGGAAATTTTGCCTCAGGACCTTTTGCTTTTTTTATACCATATTATGCCTTAGACTTCTGTGATAATCACTTGTTGTAGCAATGAGGAGCAATAATTATTACTATGTGGTATGAGCTAAGATCTTGAGATAAAGTCTATACCTTGCTGCATATCAGAACTAATAGTTTGGTCATCGTATTCTAGGACCATGCTTCCATATTCTGAATCAACACTATGTTTCTTCAAATATTAGCAAGCATTCAAGTTATTTTATCGTTTACCTGGGGGGAAAACCCAAATTGTTCATGATATAGGGAGGCATTATTTCTCATAAAATCCTGTAGTGCAAATGTAGGATTGGCATAACTGTCTCGGCCTGAGCTTTGACAAGTCTTGCTTGCTTCTAGTATGAAATAAATTAAAAAAAAAAAAACAAGAAACATTCACTTCTAAGTCTTTCGGAAGATATATGTTTCCAGGCTCTAGGCTTCTGCCTCCTCACTCAGTTCTATTTATCTCAACCATGTCTAAGATTTTCTTAAAATCAATCTGTCTGTAAGTGAGTGGTCTACCCTTTCTGATGTCTATCCCAGATTCCAAAGCCTCAAATGCTTAAGAAGTTTTTTCAGATCTACTAAAGTGTACTTCCTGTCCTTTTTCATTCCTATCTACTCCTGAGATTTCCACAGGAGTGAGGACTCACATGTGATTGGAGGTGAGAGCTGTCATGTCACACTGAGATGAATTAGTTTTAAGAAATTAAGACCAACAACTTATTTCATCACTATTTCCACATAGCTTCAGTCATTTAGTATGAAGACACTTTTAAAAATGCTTTTAATGACATTGTGTGGCAAATTACAACCACCAATTCCCACAATGATGATTTCAGGAGAATAATTTAAAGCAATTTTCCTTTTCCCCCCAATTGACTAATTGATTTCCCTCTATCTGAAGATAAATGCATTTACCACTTGCTTAGAACAGAGTCCTTTGAACATATGAATGTTTTTCCATATGCTAACTTAATGTTATATTATGAATGAGATTGAGATTTTTCTACTATATTTTTCTGTTTGAAAACACTAGCAATAATAAAGAAAGAAATAATTTTCCCCCAGCTAATTGAAGGTAGCTTTCCCAGCTTGATAAAGGTTTTCAATCATGTTTACCTTAAAAAATAATCATTAATCAGTAAATCGATCAATAAATTTAAAAGCTTCTTTGCTACACCATATCAGGTTAAAAATGCCTACTTACCAGTCAAACACTGCTCATTACTGCTATTCTTAAAGATGGCAGATTTTCCCTCCCTCCCAGTGAAGATGTCAGAGGTATCACCCCAAGTTGGATTTTTAAAAATCTACTTTTGAGCACATCTTATAATAAAATCATGGAACTTGAAGAATATGTTCATTTAACAAAACTTATTATACCCTTAAAATTTTATCATACAAGAGCATCAATACTTTCTAAGACATTCCATTCTGATTCAGCCTTTATACACATTGTTTAAAAAACAAACATGTAAAAGTTAAAGACCAGTTCCCACTATCCATAAATTATTATCACTAAACTTCTCAAGAAGAAAGTGAGTTGCTATGTCTGTTGTTTTATAGTTGGAGAAGGGAGTTCTAGACTCTGAATAGCTAGAAAACAGGAACTGGATTTCCAGAATGAAGAACACAATTGTCTTCACAGAAGACAAATGGTGGTTTTCATCAGACTTATTTGAAATGTAGTTGAAAGTCTTGTTAAGTGTGGGATCAAGCATTGACTTTTGACTTATATGTACTCTGAGGGAGAATCTTCACTCATGATCAACGAATGGTAAAGAGGGGGTCAGAGAAAACATGTACACTTTCAGAATAAGGATATTCCGAGGGGTCGATGTACAACACTACATATTTCACCAATTTGAGTTGATACACAGATTTTAATTCTTTAGAATAAGCCCCTCTTGGATGCCTCAATGTAATTCACTCTAATTAGAAAAGTATATGGCACCTTCAGGCAATTTCCTAGTCTTCTCCAAGGCCACTAACAGAAAGATACCATTAATTTTTATTATTATGTATACTGACACTTTGAAAATCTATCAGTGATATTCTTGGTGTATTAAAATAATTCTGAGCCGGGCATTGGTGGCACATGCCTTTAATCCCAGCATTCAGAGGCAGAGGCAGGCATATCTCTGTGAGTTCGAGGCCAGCATGGTCTACAGAGCATGTGCGAAAGCTACACAGAGAAACCTTGTCTCAAAAAACAAAAATAAAATAAAGTAATTCTGAAAAATAAAACAAATTTCTACTTAAATGCACTGTATATGTAAATAACTATTAATAAATTATTTGCCATGAAATATCATGGGACCATATTTTAAAACATTTGCAACCATATTCTGAACTCAGTAAAATCATTTTAGAATTTTTTACTATTTCTTAGTCAAAGGAAATAACTGAAAATCTGAAATATTAATGATGCATGAATGGCACCATAGCATATAAAGATAAAGACTAACTTGGTTTGGAGTTTGTGAGGTGTTGTTAGTATAGAGTTTCTTCCATGTATGGGGAAATTTGCCAATGTGGCAAAAAAATGTAAGAAAATAATATATATGCTATTCTCCCAGATAGTTTATTAAATTGACTGAAATATATTAAACTGATGAAGTGATACTGGATGACAAATATTACTGCAAATATGTCCCAATAACACATTAAAGATGGAATTATGCAAGTTGCCAATGGAAAAAAGACACAATTAATAGTCCTATCCAGCTGTGATGCCAATGGACCACAATAATAACTAGAATGTTAAAATATTCTAAAAGGTGCAATAGTGACACTTATATCTAGAGGTAACCAACAATTACCTAACTGGACTTAAGGCAAATTCAATAGAAGGTAACTCATGTCTGGCCCTGTAAATTGAGCCAAGTACCTACAGCTTTAAGGCCATAGGACCTAGAGAAGAACCTAGTTTCTCTGTCCTTAACCAATAAAATCTCTAACTGCATTCTAAACACACATTGTCATATCCACAGAAAGGCACAGATCTAACCCTCATCAAAGAAGCCTCCTTTTCCAGGCAAAAGAGATAACTACAGAAAGCCACAATAAACAAAGAGTAGAGGTCAACTAACCACGTGGTGTCTGTTCGCAAATACTACATTTACAACACAACTCCTAGACCTACAACTCATGGAACATCAAGGAAGACAGTGGGGTATGACTGTAAGAGATTGAGTTAAAACTGTTTTAAATAATAAAAAATATATAACAGGAAGAGAAATATATAAAAAAAACCAAAGGACCAAGTATCTGCTGTGAAATGTCTCTTTTATTTAGAAAAAAAAAGGACATGAAGTAGGTTTTGGGGGAAAGTTGGGCAGAGCAACAGGTGGATAAATATGATCAAAATGGTGAGGACATGTTATATGAAATTCTCTAAGAATTACTGAGTATCGTATTTTTTTAAAAAAAGGATACTAGGCTTTATATCTCACCACAGTAACAAAGGAGAATGTATTGCCCTGTGCTATAGTATACTGACACAACTTTAATATTTTAGAACTCTGTATGTACTTCTTCAAGGAGGGAACAGAAGAACGAAGACCAGGTATCATGAGAACAGTACAGGAGGCAAAGGAAAGGGTAAATAAAATGGATTAAAATATCATGAGAACAGTACAGGAGGCAAAGGAAAGGGTAAATAAAATGGATTCCTTCCCTGTTCTTAAGTATCTTTCTAAAAAGCATCCTTATCTTTGAGGATTAATTATCTTGACACTTCAAGCTTCTGAAAGAAAAAGAGCAGAGTAAAGTGCTGGTGACAGGTATTCTGTGCTACCAGACATGTACAGGTAACAAATACACTTATCTTGTAAATATGTCAGGAAAAAGCCATGGTGAAATTTCAAATGTATTTATCCCAAAGCACCCTGAAACAAAGGAAACTCATTTGGTTAATCTTACTGTCTCTTCGGTGTTGGATATTCTGCAAACTGTTTTCCATTTCTTAGATGATGGTAATTGATCCCTGGTTTATTTTTATTCCCATCAATAAGTGGACTCTTCATAGCAGTGGAAATTTTCAGAGTATATCATGAAAATATGAATTGTGGCTAATTTAACTCCATTATATTTAGGTTGAAAAGTTATGGATTTGTTTAACTCACTGGCAAAACCACAATGTTCACTCTACACAACAGCATCTATTTTAATTCAAGCCAAATGATTCATTTGTGTTTAATCAGTAACTATGAATCTTCAAATCTGCACTTCCTGATCGGAACAAAAACTTTGTTTTCATCATATTTATGCTTTTAATAATTAATGTAGATGTAAAATCTAAACAGATTACATCAGAACTCTAAAACAGAACTAGTGATATATAGTCCCAAATATCTTGTTTCCATCAAGCCTATAATTTCTTAAATATAGGTTCACAAATTTTATGCACATGTCACAAGTACTTTTGAATCTCATAGTATCTCATAAAAATTGAGTTCTCAACAAATTTTAAATGTATAACAAATAAAGTTAGGATAAAGGTTACCTAAATCTAGTGCTGGATAAATAACTTAGTAGTTAAGAGCACTTGCAATATTTCCTACTGAGGATGTATCAAGAAAATTATTGGAAGGCAACCATGTTAGAGAAAGATAGCAGACAAGAAAAACAAAAACCCCAGCAGGCTCAGTTTGCGTACAGTGCAGACAGTATCTCACTCATATAGCACACTCCATGGATGCACACTATTTTTAAATGGCTGTCTTATATTCTGGTTCTTCACCATTGGTTACATTTTATCATTGCTCCTTATGATCTTCCTTAGAGGAACTCTGATTATTCCTTCCCTTGTCCCTTTTGTCAGCTTTAAGAAATTACAGCCTGTACCCCAAAACATTTAACAGCATTTAAGCAGGTTACAAGGAACTAGGAGTTAGACAGACCCCTGACAGGCAGACAAATAGGGAAATAAACCACAGTTGGAGAAGAAAGATGGCAAATTTTATGACCTTTTTCACCCTCATGACTTAAGACAAAGGGCTGGTAGGATTTTTCTTGCATGGTAGATCCACCCAGCCCTTCAGCAGATGACTGCTCTAGGTTGGTCAAATAAACTCAAGACTTGAGCTAAACCTCTGTACCCAAACCTGTGGGTGTAACAGCTCCCCTTTATTTATTTAAATTTATAAACCCTAATCTAGAGAAAGAAGACCCTCATGCTAGCCCAACAAAGACCATTAAAACCCTCAGCCCTGCAGGAATGGCTCAACTCTGCCCTTGCTCTGTCTTGTAGAGGCATTTCTCTCTGTATATCCTGATACATATGTTTCTTCACCTTTAATAAAAAGTGGTTTTCCTCTATTATACAAAAAGGCATGCTTTCTGCTCTTGCAGAAGACCTGGGTTTGGTTACCAGTATACATACAGAAGAGAAAATTCTGACAAACACTGTAACTCCAACTATAGGGGGACCCAATACCTCTTCTGGTTCCCGAGGGCATTGTCCATATATGCTACACATGAAGACAAGCAGGCATACATATACATATAAATAAGAACACATAGAATTTAAGAAACAATTTATGAGGTCTATATATGACTGAGAAATAGAAAGGTAAGTATTTTTATTTTTTATAAGAAAGAAAACTATTTTACATGTCAATCCCAGGTCCCTCTCCCCCCTCTTCCCCTGCCCCCTCCAACTAACACCCTACCTATCCCATACCCTTTCTGCTCCCCAGGGAGGGTGAGGCCTTCCATAGGGGGTCTTCAAAGTCTGTCATATTCTTTGGGAAATGGCCTAGGCCAACCTCCTTGTGTCTAGCCTCAGGGAGTATCCCTTCATGTGGGATGGGCTCCCAAAGTCCATTCCTATTTCTAGAGATAAGTACTGATCCACTACAAGAAGCCCCATAGATTTCCAAGGTCTCCTCACTGACAACCACATTCAGGGGTTCTGGATCAGTCCCATACTGGTTTCCCAGCTATCAGTCTGGGGACCAATATCTCTCCCTTGTTCAGGTCAGCTGTTTCTGTGGGTTTCACCAGCCTGGTATGGACCACTTTGCTCATCAGTCCCCTTTCTCTGCAACTGGATTTCAGTTCAGTTCAAGGTTTAGCTGTGG